CCTGTAAGCCACACAGCCCCCCCAGAGAGCCGCACAGACCCCCTCAAAAGCTGCACCCCAGCTCCCCTGAGAGCCACACAGCACCCATAAGAGCTGCACAGACCCCCTTAAAAGCTGCACAGCCCCCCTGAGAGCCGCACAGCTCCCCCTTGGGAGCCACACAGCACCCCTAAGAGCTGCACAGCCTCCCCTGAGAGCCGCACAGCCCCTCTGAGAGCCATACAGTCCTCCCTGAGAGCCGGACAGCCCCCTGAGAGCCGCACAGCCCCCATTAACAGCCACACAGCTCCCCCTGAGAGTCTGTACAGCCCCCCTGTAAGCCACACAGCACCCCTAAGAGCCACACAGCCCCCATAAGAGCAGCACAGCCACCCTGAGAGCTTGCCCAGCACCCCTAAGAGCCGCATAGCCACCCTGAGAGCCCATACAGCCCACCTTAGAGCCTGCAGAGCCCATCTAAGAAATGCACAGTGCCCCTGAGAGCCTGCACAGCTCACCTGAGAGCCCACACAGCCCTCCAGGGACCCTGGAGACATCAGACCGCCACCCCAGAGCAACACAGAGTATGCAGCCTTATATTATTTTGCAGTGCTGTTAAATGTATTGCTGGGATTTGCAGTCCTCTATAACTGATGGTCTTATTCTGCATTGCTGTATAATGTATTGCTGGGATATATAGTCTTCTATAGGTGGTGGTATTCTGCATTGCTGTATATTGTATTGCTGGTATATGTAGTCCTCTATAGTTGGTAATATTCTGCATTGTTGTATAATGTATTGTTGGGATTTGTAGTCCTCTATAGTAGGTGGTATTCTACATTACTGTATAACGTATTGTTGTGATATGTAGTACTCTATAGTTGGTAATATTCTGCATTGTTATATAATATATTGCTGAGATTAGTTCCTTTACAGGTTGGAGTCAGTGGCAGAACTACCAGGGTCACAGCGGTCGCAGCTGCAACTGGGCCCTGGTGCTCCACCAGTGACTCCAAGCTGCAGAGAGACTATTCCCTTGCAGTGTGCTGCGTGACATGTACCTTAGTGCACACTGCAATGGAACACTTCACTCATTAGCACAGTACAAAGGTGCATGTAACTCTGTAGTGTAGTTAAAACCTCTTGTATCGTTTTTTTCTTCTAAGATTTATGCACATAATTAGTTCAGACAGTCGTATGAAGTGTTTTTTGAAAGAAACCATCAGTATTTGGGTCTAAGTGCAGGTTTGGCACTTTGAGACACATAAATTGGTTTAGTGATCCAGTTTGGGCACTCGGGCTCAAAAAGGTTTGCCATCACTGGTCTATGTAATGTGTCTCAAGTCCATGAATGTCTCTTAAAACATTTCTGACCAACTTCTGCTGTATGTTTTAAGCAGAGTTTTCTGTAACATTATACTCAATGAATATTATGTTAGGCCCCTTGGTGATTTTAGGAACCACATTTAGGGCCTGCTATATCTAGAAAGGTGACCACCACTGAACTAAACAGTAAATAGGTCAAGTAGAAATTACAAGCAACTATTTCCAACTTCCATGGAATCACTATTTGTAGGGGACCCGAAGAAGGTTTATAAACAACTGCAACAGCAGTCAAGTCAAGAAGTCGAGATATGTTGCATCCTCACCATGAACAAATATGATCGTTATGTTTTATTCCATCAGGGGCAGAGTACAAGCAACTTTTTGGCATTGGAGTTGAGAAAAAGCAGCAGGGATCTGTCTCAACTCCAAGCGGAAAAGTGGCTCTGTAAGCTGTACCTGTTTCATAAATCTACAATGCTGGATTTTCATGTGACTACAAGGGCATAAGGGAGTAACTGAATGTCCCAGACAATATCTTTTTAAAACTGAACTCCAGACAATATCATATTCAAAATATAGCTGTTACCTGGAAAGACTGTGAATACTTCTGCTGACCATGCCCCAAATGGGGCTCTGTTACTGAGGAATCATCCCCTGAAGTCTGTTGGGAAACTGACTTCAGGAGATGATTGCGGTGTATCACCTGCACTCAGGGCCGGATTTACTCTCTCTGCTGTCCCAAGGCCAAGTTCCTCATTGCGCCCCCTACATTGACCTGCAGGCTGCATACAAGAGATCTCTTGTACAAAATGAGCACCTGCTTCCCTGCTTTACATTTAGCCCTGCTTGCCCGAAGCAGGGCTAAATGTAGAAAACAACTACCCGCCTGGCGCCCGGAACTGCATGACCCAGGCGTCAGGCGATAGGAATTCCACACCCCTGCCGCCCTTCTACTCCCTTCCACCGCGAAGCCGGGCCTCAGTGGCTTTGTGGGAAATCCGGCCCTGCCTGCACTCCATACAGCAATGTAGACCTTTTTCCAAATAGCGGTGCTCAAAATAATGATGCTGTGTGTTTTCACGATATGGATGAAAGCAATCACCAGCAATCACCAGCACTCACAGGATGTGAAATTCTTGGAGTTCATTTTTATTGAACATGCGTCAAACTAACGTTTCGGTGCCACACAGGGTGCCTTCCTCAGGGTGACTTAGTCCATCCAGTGAGTACTGGTGATTCCTTTCATTCATATGATGCTGGGAAACTGTCACTTCCTAGAGTGTTGATCTCCAGTGTCCCCCACAGGGTGTACTACTTTATTCACTGACCTCCATGTCATTACTCTGTCCTGTTGTGATGGTAAAATCAAAAGACAAGTGGGCGCTGCGGGGTGGGGGTCCCAGCAGACTTCAGGGGTCTTCAGCAACAAGGCAGCATTAGCTGGTGTAGTAAAACAGTCTTATTTTCAGGTAACAGCTTTCTTCTAAATATGATATTGACTACAGCAGGGGTCTCAAGCTCAATTCACTCAGGGACCACTGGACAAATTTTTTTCTCCTATGGGGTCACTTGCCAAACTTCATACTTCACACTCTGAGAAACACACACATAGAAATACACACAAACGGAAATATGCACAACCCCCATAACCAGAATTACGAACACTAATATACATACAATAAGGCCCCATTCACACCAGTAAGTTTAGGTGCGATTAGGGATTATTGCGTCAGAAACTTGCATTTTCCTGCAGCAAGAATCCCTAATGTGGTGTTTACATGTGGAAACTGTCACCCATTCAAGTAATGATCAGGTGACAGCCGCTGCATGTAAACGCCTGCACACCGCATGTAATGGTATGTGATTACATGTGGTTAGGAATCAATCATTATCTCTGGATGCACAATCATTGCGTCCAGGGAGACTGATTCCTAACCGCATGTAATTATATCATATACCATTACATGCGGTGTGCAGTCGTTTACATGCAGCAGCTTTCACCTGAACATTAACTTCAATGGGTGACAGCTGCCGCATGTAAACGCCACATTAGGGATTCCTGCTGCAGGAAAATGACCCTTATGCTGGTGCAGACCTTACTAATCCATCCTTTCGAAAGGAACTGAGTGGCGGCACAGCCAGCAACAACTATGCAGTCTGCAACTGACAGAGTTGCAGATCGTGTAGCTGCTCATGCAAGTCAGGTAACGGTCCAAGACCACACACTTGACTTGCCAGCTGGCTGCGGGCTACATAGTACCGGTTTGCGAGCCGCAATTTGCCCTGCAGGCCGGTACTTTGAGACCCCTGAACTAAAGGATCGCTTGAAGTGCCCATTTTCCTATGGTACGAAAAACGGGACCACGCACATGCACAGAAGGCCTGGTTACCTTACAGACAGGCTTTGGGTTTAATTGGAGAAAGGCCATTTATGTGAAAAACACAGGAACCTGGCAAATGCAGCAATATGAAAGAAACAACAGGGTCCCTCGTGACGCCGATCCAATCACCACGCCACTTCCAGGGTCACAAAGCTGCTGTTCGCCCGCTGCAGTAGGATAGTTTCAGTGGCTGCCGGCTGCTCTTCAATCTTTGGGTCAGTACCTCACCATTGTCTACGCTGTCGGCCTCCCGCTCTCCCACCCTCTTCACAAGCACAAGCAGGCAGGCCGACCTCCACGCCCAAACAAAAACGGGCTTCCGCTCTCCCCCCCTTTCCACACCGTAGAACAAGGCGTTTGACTACGGCCACCCCCCAGCAAGGTGCCGCCCTAGGCAAACGCCTTGTTTGCCTCACGGTAAATACGCCCCTGACTATGGCTGTTGACTGATGCACCCTGACAATCTGTCATCACAGACAGGAGCCAATATGAACGGTTTCCAACTGCTTTTTTATATTTTTCTTCCATGTGATAAAGTAATAAGTATAAAGTTATAAAGTTAATAAGTATCTTATTTATAGATATACCATTTCCCGGCATGCATTTTGTGAGTTGCAGTTAAGGGTCAGAAATTTGTGTCTGTAAAAATATGAGAGGGGTGTCTCAAATATAGAGACTGAGATGACTGCAAACCTGTAAAGAAAGTATGGGTAAGAGTAAACTAGGGGTCTAGGGCAAAGGGTAGACGATGCTCCTGAGCCCTAGAGAATGCATAAAGCCAACGTTTTGAATCCTAATGCTTGAGTAAGGAGAATCTGGAATCTTTTCCTCTGAAAGTAGGGACCCTATCAAAATAGGGAACTTATCAGAATTATTCCCATACATGAGAATGATGTGCAGAGGCTCACAAAGTGGCTATTGTGATAACATCATGACAACCATCCCTAATTATGTAAGCATTATAAAGTATGCTTCTATTGCAATATGTAAATGTATGTCTACTTACCAATAAGTATTTTTAAGATAAATACCTTTAAAACTAATGAAAAGTCATTCATACGCACATATGTGTGTATATGTTTATATAATACCTACTTTACCTGCTGCACTGCTTAGCGTGTGCGTAATAGAAGACCTAGGTGCAGACCTTTCAACCTTGTTTCGTTTTTCAGGAACATGAATAGTTATGTTAAACAACATATCTGAAATGGTTAACAGCCATTAATTTATGGCTATGTAAATGAGGCAAGTAACAGGGATTAGCTTCCCAGCAGGAAGGGTAAAGTCCACCAAGAGATGAGGCAGTGAGCAGTAAGCAGTAAGCTGTAACTCCCTTTTCTGGAAATCGTGGGTGAGAAGCACACATAAGGTAAAGGAAATTTGATTTTAACATCAAAAAGTGGATTCTACTTAGTGATAAATAAACATATCTCATTTGAAGAGAATTTGTACATTTGGTAATTGTGCATCTTCAAATTAGGTGAACACAAACAACAAAGATTTCCAAAGGTGTTATTCTGTTCCGTATGTAATTCTGAGTATACTGTCTTTGCAAAATGGGCAGCAATGTTAAAAGTTAATTACATGTGTACGGGTTAATAGTTAGAGTGTCTTTGTCTGCTAAAAATATATTGTTTACTAGGTAGCAACATGAAAAACTACATCTTGATAACGATGCTTGAATTTAATACCTAATAAGGGAATTATATTGTGCAAATGATTAGAACTGAAAACCAGCAACTTTTTTAGGTAAATCTTTAAAACAGGGCTTAGGGTGAGTTGGCAATCACGTTCATAGAACAGAAGTCAATATGGCCACCTAAATGATAGGAGCATGACAGTAAAATATCTGTTATGTATTAACCTTCTGACATGGTTTGAAACAATATCATCACTCTGGTTTTATAACTTGGATATTTCAAGAAGTAATTTCCTGGTAAACTAACATGATCAGTGACAAATAGCTATAGGGCTACCAGTCATCCAGTAAAAACATTAACCAACTTTCATTTGGTTATTAAAGTATTTATTTGTCTGAAAAAATGCAATCCATTTAGTTGTTTGCCTCAAGTTACATTTCTTACGATGTTCACATTCCAAGTTTCCTCTCTAGCACTGAATGTTATTCAGTAAAAAAAAGCTTCGTTGTACACAAATAGATAGCATCTCCAGTGGCAAATGACTTATAACATACACAATTAAGGGAATTTGCCTGAACTGGAGCAGACAAAATATGGAGCAGCTGTGCATGGCAACCAATCAGCTTCTCTCTTAATTTTCAAAGCTTAACTGAACAAACTGAAGATAGAAGCTGATTGGTTGCCATGCAGAGCTGCCCCAGATTTTATTTGCTCCAGTTTTGATAAACTCCCCCCAATGTGTTTTAGGGACCTGACTATCACACCTATGTGAACTTGGGCATCCAATTCCAAAACCATGGGCATTAAATGTTGCATGTAAGAGTTGCCCCCTGTTTGTGGTTATAACAGCCAATACTCTTCTGTCAGGCTTTCCACGAGATATTGGACTGTGCCTGGTAGATTTTGTGCCCATTCAGCCAAAAGGTTGTTTGTGGGGACTGGTACTGATGTTAAATAAGATCTGCCTCACAATCTGCATACAATGTACTACGATGGGGCTCACTAAGGTTGAGGACAGGGTTCTGCTCAGGCTACTGGCGGAACTACCAGGGTTGCAGCAGTCGCATGTGCGGCCGGGCCCTGGTGTTCTGCCACTTGGGGGGGAAGGCGGAAAGAAAGGAGAGGGTCTGGCCCCCCAGCCCGGTCCCCTCGCCCGGCCCCAACCGCCGAGGCGTCGAGGGACTCCTACAGCATATTAGATTATCTGTTCCACCAGAGAACACAGCCGCTGATGTCAATGGAGGATGTGACACGCTGAGGCGAGGAGCCTGGGCTGTGTGAGGGTGTGACGTCACAGCTGAGGAGAGCAGTAAGCAAATGTTGAGAGGTGCTGTTAATGTGAAGGAAGGTGCCTCCTTTTGTGTGGCAAATTAATTTTTTGCAGCCCAACACTGCTCAACCGATTTACGTTATACCAGCTAAGCAGTGTTGGGCTGCTATAGATGAATTTGTCACACACAAGGAGGTCCTCTGCATACTGGTGGAACTACCAGGGTTACAGCGGTTGCATGTGCGACCGGAACCCTGGGAAACCGCCTCTTGGGGGGGACCCGGAAAGTAAGAAGATGGTCTAGTAACAGCCGAGGCAGGTGGGGGGGGGATGGGGGGTAGGGCTGCAACAACTAATCAATGAAATCGATTATAATCAATCATGAGAATAGTTGGCAACGATTCTCATCATCGATTAGTTGGGGAGAGAGAGAGAGAATTAATTTTTTTTAGACAACCAATCGATCAATTGAAAAAATTATTGGGCAACTAATCGATTATGAAATTAATCTTTAGCTGCAGCCCTTGTGGGGGGCACTTTGTGGTTTCTCGCACCGGGCACTGAAGTTTTTAGTTACGCCTCTGGCTCAGGCCATTTAAGTTACCCCAAACCATATATTCATGAACCTGGATTTGTGCTCAGGGGCACTGTCATGCTGGAACAGAAAAGGCTCTTCCCCAAACTGTTACCACAAGGTTGGAATCACACAATTGTCTAAAATGTCTTTGTATGCTGTGGTGGTAAACATAACCTTACCTGGAAAAACCTGATCTCGATAATTTGGAGGAGTGCCAACATATTTTTGGGCATGAAGTAAGACATGTGATAGTCAAATGTCCACAAATGTGTGACCATATAGTGTATATTAATTTAGTGCATGTTGTATAATAATATTTTTAGGTTGGCATATAACATTACAGACAGTAGAACATATTCACTTTGCAAAGTGTATTTTAAATTTGCAAGGGAATTTTCCATTGCAAATTTAAAGCCCAATCATCTGCAAGGAAAATTTTGGATGGTGGAATTCAGCAGAGTTTTACCTCATTCACTAATCTAAGGGAAAATTGCCTGGCAATATGAAAATGCATTTTGCTAAGTGAACAGCGCATTGGTTGCTGAAAAGCACACTGTGAGCATTACAGTACCTGAGATGACTGGGCATAATCTGGGGCTGTGTAAAGGTAGCAATACTTAGCACAAATTTTGGCAAATTCCTGCTGAATCAGCTGAAATTTGACCTTGGAAGGCCTGTCAGCACCACCCAACTCAACTAAAGTCAACTGAAAAATTGTCTGAGTTGGGTGGAAAATTCTCAACCGAACAGTGAGTGCATCAAATGCAGTGGCTGTTGGGTTGGTATGGATGAACAAAGCGAACTGAATGAAAAAAATGGAGGAATCTCTTGCGCAGTTTTTGTATTCTGACAGTGGATGCCTGCAGCTGTCAGCATACATGAACAGTGACTGCAGCTGATTGGCAATTCCTGTGACAAGATGAAATTCTAACAGGGTATAGCCTGCCTTAAAGTAGAACTCCTGTTAAAAACGTTATTAACCCTTGCAATAGAACTACCCCCACACTGCAAGGGTTAAGTGCTCGTTTTTGCCTAGGGGAAACAGAAAAAGGTATACTTACCCGATCCTCCAAGCCAGCCAGCTCTTAGATCACTCCATGGAGCGTCTCTCCCCCTTTGCTGCGGTGGTCTAAGGTCCCTGAGTCATCACATTCTTTACAGTGTATAGGACATGAGGATGTCAAGGGACATTCCATCGCTGCAGTGAAGGAGGAGGCAGGAGGGAGCGGTGTCACAGCTGGCTGGCTCGGAGGACCAGGTGAGTATAACTTTGTTATTTTTGACCCTGGGCAAAAATGAGCATGTAACCCTTGCAGTGTGGGGGTAGACCAATTACAGGAGTTAATAACATTTTTAACTGGAGATGTTCTTTAACTAGCTAATTCTGCATCAGTTCTAGGTGTTCTATAATAAGAGAATGTGTAGTTTGCAGATCTTTATTGTATTTGTTGAAAGCTCTGCTCATTTTCATCTTGCAGCAGTGAGCTTTAAATGTATTGAAGTTTGAAAATGATCTTTTCTGTTTCATAAATAGTCTTATCTTTATGTTTTCATTGTCTCACTGATTAGCAGTGCAATCCATGCAAACAGCAATAGGGAAATAGAGGTAGGAATGTGCCATATCTCCTCTAAGCATTAACATTGCAGCAAGGTAAAAATGTATATTTGAGAAAAATGTTGAACCTAGGTTATAGTAGTCAGGGAAAAGCAAATAGTAAGATCCTCCTTTTATATGGCTGATGTTTAGTATTTATTCCATGTGTTTACGTGGGACAGCTTGGTACATAACATTTTATAGCGCTCAAAGCAAGCCTACTACACTCAGGGGTGTGGAAATTTTAGAAAAAACTACTTGTCCAAGGGCTAAAGCAGGGGTCAAATCTACTTGTCCTTCATGACAATCTACTTGTCCCAATACAAAAAAAAAAAAGTTTTAAAAGTTTAAAACTAGGGAAGCACCAATACCAGTTTCTGGGTATCGAGTATGAGTACCAATATTTTGCTTTCAGTACTCACTGAGTATTGGTGCTTCCGTTTGCATGGAGCAGGCTTCCCGGGCAATCAGGAAGCTGGGCAGCGGGTAATGAGATGCTACCCGGCTTCCTGACTGCCAGGGAAGCCGACTCCATGTTGTTTGGCCGGCTTGATTGTGAATGGCTGGGAAG